AAGTTTGCCTGTCCTGGACCATACCCATCCATGGACTACATGAGTAAGCAGAAGGGGATAGCTGCCCATCCATGTCATGCCTTGTATTGAATAAATTGGTATGGTTTGCTTTTAAAAGTAAGGTTTCATGGTTACCCATTGGACTGTCTCGGGTGTTGTTGATTCTCTGGACTCTCTACTATATTTTACCCCCTTTTTTTTTTCTAGTGGAGTTTGAGAGTCCTTACCACTTTCCAGTTCAAAGCCATTGATTCAGATCCCTCATCCTATCCCCATGTGGACATTGGTTCCTAGTGTTTTGGATTTAGAGTAGAACCAATCAACACAAGTCCTCACACATGTATTACAGATGTCTATATTCCTCTCTCATTTATACTCCATCAGTGTTGTGGGTCACAGCGGAGGTAATTGCGGATTATTATGGTTCTTTCCCTTCAGCTGTCCTTCAATGTTTCTTATTTTGAGGGAGATTGTTTACATTATGTAGACATCTTTTTGATACCAGATGTCTGGTTCCTGGTTTGATCTATCAATTTATCGTATTCACATGTGCTCCTTCATGAGTCAGGAGGTACAAGATTCCCTCCAGTCTCATGAACTTGAGGTGAAGACGGTATGATCCTCGTTCTTACCCCAGCCATACGGCTGAGTTTTGGATTGTAGTCGACTTGCCAGTGGTATGATCTTCTTTCCTACCTCCACGTGGATGTTAGTTCCAGGCAGCATTTATTTTTAATGTAGTTGATTTACTGTGTATGGTCCATCATGCCCTAGCCACTCTGCATCTAATTGCAAATCCTTTTCATTTTACCCTCTTTTATAATTTCTGTGATTGAATAACCTAAATATTGCATGGATCGGATCACTTTCTAGCCATACTTCTCTTCCAATTAGATGTGCTCCTCTTTTTTCCACTCATAAATGTGACATCTTTCTATGATAGGTGAAGTATATACCTGGCTCAGAAGTGGTGTGTTCCTCACATCAGCTTTTAGAATCTCACTGTTTCATCTTAGGGAGTGTCCTTCAGATACTTCTTTTTTCCCTCACACCAGTCCCTTCATTTATTCATTATGAGATTCTAGCTATTCATGTGAGAAAAGGTAATGTACCGTATCAGAAGTTATAATTTTCCAACACTGAAAATGTATTTCTGATGGGTACTTACTTCATCTCACACTTCCTGCCCTTCCTCCCCACTGAAAACTGGTGCTTCCATCTTCTGCCAAAATTCGAAGTGATAGTTCAGTAGAATTGAATAGAGGGAGTCACATGCGTCATGAGAGTATGTCACATTCTTATTGGTGGAGGGTGGATGCTTTTCACTGGAGGGGAGATAGAAGTCTTGTGGCATGCGTAAAGATTTTTTTTGCATATATAGAGAACAACATGAATGAGAATAGCTATTTATATCATTGGAGGTAAGTATCTATAAGAAATACATTTTCAGTGTAGGAAAATTATAACTTTGGACTTGTTGTTAATGACTTATCACATATAGGTATTTATATTTGAATAAATTACATGCATTGACATACATTACATACATTCTCCATTATAGTTGATGTACTGTTTTATTTTCTGATGATGATCGATACACATGTGTAATACTGAAACCAATTTTCAATAATTTTTATGTGCAAGAAGTGAGACTTCTATGGTAATAGTTTATTTTGGATAAATTACTGTTGACCTTATAGTCCAAAAGTAACCTAAATAATAGTCAAAGTTAAACTAATGTCAATACATTTTGTACTATAAAATTTTTATTTATTGTAGTTTTACCTTACAAAGTTTGAAACTCAATAGCAAGTACGTAATAATAAGACCCAGATTCTAATCAAATAAAATTAGATTTATTGTGGTGACAAAGGTTTAAATTTTCCTTGTTACTGAACTGCTATGCATTTTATTAAAATTTCCTGAGTATACAACACACAAGTCTAGGTACACATAACCTCTACTTACTGCTATATATACCAAAAATGTGTTTCTAAAATTTATTGTTGTTAATTTGTCAGCAAGAAGAAATTAAGTTTCCAAAACATACTTACCTCTGCTTATACTACAGCTATTATTTGACTGCCAGGGTTTCTTCCTTTGCCCATTTAAGCATTGGTCTGATTTTTTCTCTCTTGCTCCAGTTTTTTATACCCTACTTATTTTCCTTGGTGATATTTGTCTCATGATGCTCTCTACCTATGTCAATGTGCTCTCTATTCTGGTACTGTTTATAAGCATATCATTCAGATAATGTTATCACTTTTTCTTGACAAAGCATTCACTAATGGGTTTCTCTGTGCTACGATCATTGGAGATACTTTGAGTAGTCATCATCTTACCTAGTTGATTTTAGTACAGAAAAACAATTTACTTTAGCAAGAAGATATACAGCATGAATTCCCAGATTATTATTTCCAGCATGGAGGCAAATAAGATATCTCCTATCTCATGCTCAATATCTAACATTGCTCAACAATTGGGGGAGAGGAGTAACTTTCAGTGTAGACCATATTCAGTATGATGGGGGCTCTGAGGCTGAAACTGAGGGCAATCCTGAACATTCTGGAGAGAATTTAAATTCACTTTTTCTTGCACCTTCTTTTATTCTGTTGGCATCTCAAGAAGTGGAGGCTCAGCTTCGAGAATTTCTGGATGTGTGATAAACCTAAGCCACGGATCCATGGGCACTACAGATCCTTGAGTCAGGATTAGTCATTTAGTTCACATCTTCTCACTATTATCCACCCAACTTGTAGGGTTTCCATCTCCTGCAGATTTTCAACTCATTTGTACTGTTGAGATGTGGTGTTCCACAAAAACCTCTACAAGTATCCTCATGGTATGAAAATTTACTCACTTGTCCACTTCAAACTGTCCACTTCTTTAGCTTGCACTATTGCACTGTCTCCAGTAAAAGACCTTTTCAGCAGGCATCTGATGAGGAGCTGAGCACTTCTTCGGGTCTCCCCACTGCAAATTCTTTTTCAACTATATCATGGGAGACCCTCACCACAGTACTAGTTCCTAGCTGCTAGAGTGGTGGGCCTTAGAGAGTTGCTCACTGATTTTTCACTTCATCAGTGGGAAGTAGGGTTGTGTTGACACGGTCCATGTAGTGGGAGTCACCTCTCAAACAGCTAGTGTACCTTCCTTCTCTAGTAAGAGTATGCAGTTGATTTGAGGTGAAAAACACTATATGGTTTGATCACATCCTAACTACACTACACTTCTAGGATTGCAACCACTCATGGGTGAATGCTCTGTTGGTAGTGATCAAATTCCACCCATCCCTCTGAAACTTAGGACTCTTTTTGCCTTTCCCTCTGTTTCCTTCTGAGTGAAGAGTATACCCTGGTCTAAACAAGATGTGGCCTCCCATGGGTGTGCACCTATGGAGTCCTTGTCATCAGGTGTCACACTCCATAGGCTTTCCATTCAGGTGTTTCTAAAGGGAACTCATATAGGTTTATTGTTGCACCATCCCCTTCACCATTTCAATGTGGGATTCTATTTATTCTGTGTGAAAAGATAAGGTATCATTTTAGAAGTTAATATTTTCCTTACCTGAAAATGTATTTCTAATAAATACTTACTTCTGCACATCTTCCCACCTGTCCTCCCGACTTACAGTGCACTTTCTTGTTGCCTTGTCTAAGAATGAAGTTATTTTGAGTGCAAGTGTTTTAGGAGAGTTACTGTGCAAGGAGGTTGTGTCATCCTCCTATTGGTGAAGCGCTATCGTTCCATGATGATGTCATCATGTACTATGCCAATTCATGTTAAACACGTGATTTTTAATTGGAAATTAGCTCAATGCTAATACTGTATTTTTGCATAAATAATCTACACCTTGTATACCCCACACCTGTGGAAAAAAAGTGCTCTAAGAAACTTTTAGGCACATATTACCCACTCAGTGACACAGACAAATTTTGGAAAACAAGAAAAATTAAAGAATCCTTTTACATTATAGTAACACAATAAAACCTTCACTAAACAGAGATTCTGGACTAGAGGTGAGTAACCTGTGGCCAGTGATAAGTTAAAGTTTATGGAGATGCTATGGGACTCACTGAAAGTGAAATCTACTCATCTTGAAATATAAGCAATTAATAAAGTCAAAATTGTAATCTGTTCAAATACTGATAAATACAGTCAAAAGTATTCATATTTATGCTTTATCCTTTGACAGAGAATACGGGTAACTGGGATTGCTAACAGATGTTCTTATTGGCCAATTGATGAATCACTTGGCATGTGTTGGACAAGAACAACAACAACATAAATGAATATTCCAAATAGAAGATTGGTGATTTCAGTCTTGAAAATAACAACAAAAAATATCATATTACCCACTCATGAGTATGCCCAGCAGTTGGCATTTTTGAAAACTTTCAATTTGTGCTACTTATGTAACATGTTCTATAATCTATATTTTATTCCATATACCAATTTATAAATATTTTAGATAGATTAATTATTGAAGTTATTCTACTGTTAGTTGGTTAATATAATTAATATTAACTAACTAACAGTAGTTAATATTAATTATATTAACTAACTAACAGTAGAATAATTAATATTATTTTCAGGTTTCACTAAAGATAGAATAAGTGTATTATGAAACATTCAGAGCTTCTGTGAATAAAATTGTTTTTGTCTTGTCATCAGTCTTCACCTTTATTATTAAACTGTGTTTTCTTCATGACGATTTATATACACATTTACATTTACATCAAAACATGCATTTGTTTGGTTGTTAACTTAAACTAGTATTAACACATTTAATTCATGCAAGTTTTTGTTATTAGAGAAATACCAGAGTGAACATATGTTGGGTATAAAAGATGTTCCTAAACTGAATAAAATAATTATGAAGGTGGTTGCAAACTGAGCAAGTGACTGTAGAGTTCATTACTGTTTTGCATTTACATGTGCATTGTGTTGACTATGGTGTAAAAGTTTTCATGTCTCTAAAACTAAATGCATTTTGATAGGGAGATCCATTGAAGGCTCTTTTAACAGAAGTTGATCGGGAAGAGGTTCAAACACGGTTTCCTTTAACAGCTGATAGTGTGACACAAGATGAGAATGGGCTGAGACAGTTAATAGTAGGTTAATTAATTTATATTTCCATATTTTATAAATTGTCAATAACTGTTTAATCTAGCACAAAATATAATTCACTGATATTACAAATTATGTTGTTAAAATTTACTTTTTTTTTTCAAACTTGCTATGATATTGTGCTTAGAAAAGTAAAATAATCTTACATGCAAGTAAAGAATTGTTTAGTCATGCTCTTTGGATGAAATTGAGCTAATTAAAAAAACTATAAATTAGAAGTATGTGTTTTTTTTAGTCTTTGCTGTAAGTTTTATTTGGGGCAGTTTGTATTTGCTGTTTTGGGTGAAAATAGTTTCATGCTTTTAAATAGTTCTTTATATACCTGTGGAATAAATATGATTTTTTAAAATTCTTTTTATTTTTATAAGTTCCATTCTTTGATGCTTTCATTGTGGAGTATCAAGTTCAATAGGTAATTCTTCATAGAAAGTTATTTAGTACAGGGGTACAAAAGCTTACTAGCCTAATGCCTGGGACTACCATATTTTTATTTAAGGCCATTGTGAATTCTGCACACACACTAAATTGAGGATAGTACAATTCTGTTTCCATGAAATGTGTGCGTGTGTGTAAAATCCAACTCTATATTTTATTATTAAAATTTACTAATATTCTAGTTATTGTTATTTTTTCTTTCAAATCATTAATAATCTACTGTTCCTGGAATTTTTGTAAGGTTGGTAGCCTGTTTATCAACAATGGGCTAATCCATTGTAAGATTGATATACAAATACATGTGATGACTCAATTTCTGATCTGTAAATTAAAATTTCTAGTTTTGTAGTTATAACAATTTCTAATCTACTAACATAAAGTACCCATGCTCTGCTACAGTGGTCATAGATTCCTCATGATTCACAGTGAAATACCTCCATTATCCTCAGTTACTTCCATAGCTACTCCAAGAAGGGTGAGGTCAATATCCCAAAACACATCCCATTAAGGATACCAACCCAAGTTACCCAAACACATACCACTTTTGGTCCTGCTAGTTTATGAGTGGAGGTATGAACTCAGTTTCAAACTTGGCACCCTTGAGATCCAAAGAGGAGTCACAAACACTGCTAGATTTGAATTCACTGACCCTTAAAACATACTCCTATACCTCCAACATGCTTGGGTGACCTTACAAATGCAATATAGTTCCCCTTGGTGTGGGGATTATGCCATATAGGTAAAGACACCCCTCCAGCCACCCAAAGTTCATCTGTTAAGTTTTTCCTGCTAGTTCCAATACTGTTGGAAGACTTTGCATACAAACAAAATCACAAAGAGAGACATGAATTAACATAGGGTGTGATTATTTTTCATTGGGATTAGAATAGATGTTTTATTCATATGACAAGAAACAGCTGTGTTCGGATAAAATAACATTATGATAATTTTGTTTTGTTGGATTTTTCTTACATATGATGGCAAAGACAGGTATCCCAAATATTTTGTTTTAATTTAGTCATATATGTTGATTGGTTAGCCAGCCCATAGATTGTATGTGTGCACATGCTAACCACAGGGCCAGTCCAATAACTTATGTAGTGAGCCATCTCATGTCCAATACATTGGCCAGCAGTGCATCTTTGTTCATTAGCTCATCTGTGGTGAACATAAGTCCAGTTTTGGAAGTTGCATATTCAGCAATATATTCAGCATCCTTAGTATGGAGGAAGTCCTTGGCATCCTGGAAGTATTGGCCTTTTTTCATGATTAGTCAATGTTGAATTTATGTCAAAAGGGAAAAAAAGCTTCAGGAAGATGAGGATTACCACTAGCTAGTCAAAGAAAAAGATTTATTCTGGCTAAAACTTGACCCTAAATACTGAATTCCAGACTCAACCCTCATCAGCACCCCTTTGAAAAGTTATGTTGTGGAATACCTGGAGTTCAACTGGACCCCACCACAAAATTACCATTATAGTAAGTTGTGAATTGAAAGTGCATTACAGCTTTTATTAGGGTTAGCATGCTATGTGAACAGCATAAAAATACATGTTTTCTAGAGGACATATGTTGACAAATCAAGAAATTACCAAACTACATTGTTCCTCAGTATAAAAGTAGTGTTAAACCATTCCTTATACAAACAATGTATCAAAAATGTGCCAAAGGTTTATTATACTCCTATATACAATGCATTATCCACCAATATTTTCCAAAAATATTTTATCACAAACAAATAAAACATTGGATACATCAAGCTCATATTTATTATGTCTAAGCTGCTGTCCTTGAATATCTTTTATTATGGACAATTTCACCTACTCATGAATATTTCAACTTGATCCAGTTGAAATACCTTCTGCACTATTTATGAGGAACATAAAAATAAAACTGTGTTCTTTAGAACCTTAGCCATTTTGTGAGTCTGTTTGTTTCTTCCATAAAAATTCACTACAAGCTAAATATTTCAGTGTCAAAATTCAAATGTTCTCTTACTGCATTTTTCAGTAATACTTTTCAAGTTATTTATCACAATTAACCTTATACTCATTAATTCTTAACATCAATGTTGTATCCTCATCTCCATGCCTTTTCTGTTCATTGTGGTGTCCTTTGTGTAATTGATCCATTTGTGTTATACAACACTCATGAGTGAGGGTGCACACGCCTATTCATTTGCATACATATATTGCCATTTACTTATACCACCATTACAGATTCATAAATACTGTAGTAGTTTATACGGATCACTTCTGGCTACCTCATAAATCACTTTGGTAACACTTGAGTTACCTTTCAAAGTTATGCCCCATAATGCAGTGGTATTCTACAGCCATCAGATCCTATTCATATATGTTTCTAGCTTCATGAAATAAAAAAACATTGGCAAAATTAGACATTTGAAGATTTTTTAAAACTTAAAAATCAACTTAATTGGGTTTAAAATTTGTGCTGTTTCTACGCTCAGAGGAAACACAACTCCTTTGTTGCTTCTAGAATCAGCATACTTCCCAAGTAAATAGATAAAAATCTGATGAGTACAGGGGTGCATGCACCATAGAGTTCACACCATTCAGCTAGAGTATGGGAGTGATTCTCTCAAAGTATCAGATGATGGTTTGCATCAGAAAATTCACTCATTGGCTTGGAATGCAAGGGTCACCACACCCTTTCAGTCACATGAATGTCTTACCTCATGAAGTAAATCAAGTAGTAAACATAACAATGTAGAGCTTACACCATACAGTCACATGAATGTCTTACCTCATGAAGTAAATCAAGTAGTAAACATAACAATGTAGGGCTTACACCATACAGTCACATGAATGTTTTACCTCATGAAGTAAATCAAGTAGTAAACATAACAATGTAGGGCTTACACCATACAGTCACATGAATGTCTTACCTCATGAAGTAAATCAAGTAGTAAACATAACAATGTAGGGATTACACCATACTGTAAAATACCACTTAATAGCTCAGAAAGCAAGTGTTATGAAACCTTTTCACCTGAGTTTTATAATGCCTAGCTAACACCTTCAGTTGTGCTAACATTGATATGCTAGGAATTGTATCTATTTGTTCAAGCTGCTTTAATTTTTGGTGACTGAGTAATAGCAGTATAGTGCAGTCCATAGACAGCATTTCATGTCACCACTTGGGAGCTTCAGAAAGCAAGGGTCATGATACACTTTCAGTCACAGACTTTTGGACTCCTGATTGAACCAGTGCACCAGAGTCTTATCTGTAATGTGTGTGCAGCTTATCAACAAGTTCCACTTGCTTTTGCATGCTTCACATCTGCTTTAATTCATATGTTAATGGACCAGTTTCTAAGAGTATCAGATACTACCAGTCTAGCCAGATCCAAGTTGCTTTCTGTGCTTCTGGCATTTACCACAAATAGACACCAAATCTTCAAATCTAATTTTTAGCTTGTCTTCCTATGGCATCAACTCCACACGGTGTCCAGATCAGGACATTCCATGAACAGACAAGGTCTCTCTCACCAATCAGTGAGATAATTCTTCCATGTTAAAGGCTTGGCAAATACATATACTTGCAATATTGTTATCCAATGTGCTATCATTCCATTTAGATTTTTATAGGTCTTCATCAACTTCAATAAATCATGATCCACCTAGATGGTGAAACTCTACCATAAGAGTAGTGACAGTAGTGTTTCACAAAGACCAGATCTGCACGCAGTTTTTTCTTCACACAATATCTGCATATGTGAGCTGTAAAATGTAAAAAAAAATTGTAATACAAACAAATGGCTAGCTAATTCTGCTCTGTTGTTGAGAAATATGCTATACTTGAGTACAGTATTAATGTGGTATTCTAAAATAAATTGATTTCCATGCAAGTATCTGATAAGTCTGCTTAATAATAATGAGGAATTTGTCATTCACAATGGAATTTGAAAACACCTAGATGCTCCACACAGTATTGTAACATCTTGAACCATGTGCACTCTGATCTTGGTGTTAGATCTGTATGACAGTTGAAAGTATGCAATTAATGGAAACCTTAACTTTGTGAATCCATACCCTGTTGGCTTCATTTTTAGATGGAGATGTTGTGTACAATTGCCTGGGGTACTTGGATGATCTTGGCCATTGATTCTTGTGTTTACCTGTTACAGAATACCATAGTATATCATGGATGGGGTAATATTTGTCACATATCTTTTTCTGGATTGTCTTTTTTACTCCAAATTGATCCAATATATTTATTTTTCCAATGTCATTATGTACAAGAGACATCTTTGGGTCAAACATTTTAAATCCTTGATCTGAACACATCTTCATGATCTGAGTGTATAAGCATTTTGTATTAAAAATGGATGTTACATACTATTCCCAAAAACAGTGAATTTTCAGCGATATCACACTACCTGTTTTAATATAACTTCAACCTCTGATAATAATGCTTGATTGTAATGTATGTGTGTGACTGAGACACTATTTTAGTGGAATTAAAAGTAGTTAAGGATGTATATTTTCTATATTTTTTGTTCTTGAGAAATGCACGTATAATAAGCAAAACACTCAGAACTATATGATATTTTTATTTTCTTCAACAGAAAGCTAACTGTTACTATGCTGCAATAAACTTGACCACACGTCTTCTTACTGGTGTTGGACAGGGTCCAGGCTACATAGGTCATCCTTCTCGTCATACACCATATTCTCTACAGGCAAGCATAAAACATGTGTAATAGTGTATTTTATTTAAAGTATACTTATCGGTGCTGTATGACTTGAAACAATTTTATAATACATCTAGATTGCTGGTGAAATATGTTTAACTCTTCAGTAGAACAACATAGCAATCTCACTCATCAATTTATTATAAAAAATACTTTGAAACTAACTCTAATTTCTTTTAAATTGACACAGGGTAGTTATTGTTTATAGAATAATATAAATTTAATTACAAAGCCATGTAATATAGGCTCATTTGTAGTAAATATGAATTTAAAAAAATATTTAATAAAACACTTTGTTAAATAACACAATTTTATTAAAATCTACCAGAAAATCCAACCAAAAAATTTCATTATATAAGTCTGTTAAAACTATTGAATGTAAGAACTTATAAAGAACATGATGAACCCTAAAACACCAACTATTCATTTTGTAAGTATGTTTCATCAACATGATAATCCAGATAATTCTATTCTAGAAATATGCTATAACAGCAAGAATATCAGCATTTGTAAAATTTTATCTTTAGTTTTACCACTTAAATCATATACATGTAAACAAATTTCACGGCAGCAAGAGGAAAGTTATTGATACAAATAGACCATAACCATCTTATCTTTTTACAAGATACTTAATAGCATGTATTTATCTTATTTTGAGATATAATTATTTTATATTTTATGACAGTTTTTTATCAACAAGCACTGCTATGGACTGAAAATGGCCTTTAGCTATGCTACTTATATGCTGGTGGCTTAGAAACTTATATTTTTGTTAATTACTGAAAGTGACCTTTTTCTCTTAGGCTCATTGATGAATATTTACATATGTTTAAGAGAGACTTACACAGTTTGGAACAGAGTTGAACATTTTCTCTGCCAAATTTCACTTATAAAAAAGGATTACCTGTTCATTTCTTAAATCTAACAGTTCCTTTAAGTCAGGGGTGAAATTCTCAAAAAATGAGTAGAGGTACACAGCTGGGTGAAGTAGACCTGTTTTTGAAAAAGAAAAGATAATCTACACAGCGTGGTCACAAGTAAATAGACACCACCTTTTCAGAAAAATAGAAATTTTTCAGTCATTATAATTTAATTAATATCTAGTAGATCTTCCTTTCGCTTCGTAGGGTTCATTGATCCTTTGGGGCATCGTGAGAATCATCTCGTCAATTTTAGATTGTGGGATTTTCGCTCACTCTTGCTTCAAAACTTGGAGTAGATCACTCTTCGAAGTTGGTTTTCTGGTTGTTTTTTGACTTGCCAGTCGAGTATGGCTCAGAGATTTTCGTTGGGGCTCATGTCAGGAGATTGGCTCGGCCAGGGCAACTTCTGGATACCATTTTCTTCTTGCCACTTTTGGGTGTTTCTAGCAGTGTAACACGGTGCTCCATCTTCCTGGAACAACGTTGTGTTCTTGTCCACGAAACAGGAGGAATAAAGTGGCAAGAGTCCTTCCTCCAATATTTCGATGTATTTCGCAAAATTTATGTTGCCAACGCACTCCACTAAGCTCGATCTCCAACCAACCCATACAGCTCCCCAAACCATCACGCTGAAACCACCATGCTTCACAGTTGGCTGCAATCTGTTGAGACAAAACTCTTGGTGAGGCATTCTCCAGACCCATATCCTTCCACTGTCCGCAAATTGAGCGAATCTTGATTCATCTGAGAACAATACGGTCTTCCAAAAGTCCATAGGCTTGGTCATCATATCACTTGCCCACTTCTTTCATCTGACTATGTTGGCAGGTCTTAATAAGGGCTTCCGTCTAGCTGTTCTGCAACGATAACCCAATCTGTGGAGAATCCGTTGAACAGATTTTGGGCTCATCTCACCAACTTTGGCCACTTCTGCAGTCGTTAACCTGGGATCCATTTCGATTCTCCTCTTGACAGCCCTTTTTGTCCTCTCCGATGGACCAGGACGACCTGGACACTGCTCAGTTGTTTCCTTGCCGTGTTTCCTGAACTGCACGATGATTCTGTTGACTGTCGAAAGCGGGATTCCCAAATTCTGCAAAATTTGCCGCTGACTTATTCCACCATCTGCTTGACCAACTATCATTCCTCTAACAAAATCTGACAATTCGAGGGAACCTTGAGTTCTAGGCATGTTGTAGCACAAGATAATTAGTGTGCGCACCATTTTCATTTATATAGTGCTGTGTGAACACAAATTAGTTAGCATAAATCAGTTAAATGACGAAAAATTAGGTGTCTATTTACTTGTGACCACTCAGTGTACATGTAAACATAAAGAAACAACAAAGCTGCTCAAATAAGTCCCGTTACTAGTACCCCCTTAAAAATTAGGTATCGGTGAGTACCAGCAGATTTTTACTTCTACAATGTCTTTCACAGACCTACTGATAATAACAGTTCCTCCAAAGTTTACATCCATATCACTGTTAAAAAGACAAAACAAAAGTATTTCTTTTAGTCAGATCCTCATACTATTCTTTATACAGTAATAATAATTTTTTTCCATAAAAAATGTGCAAACTATATGATACATTCCATTATTGTGGATATCTACATTAACTTTGTCTAATTATTTACTAAAGAAATTAATTACAACATTGAACCACCAAAAAGAAAAACTATGGAAGTCTTGATAGGATAGTTTTTGTTATCCCATACTTTTTAAATGTGGACAATTTATATCAAACTACAAAAAGTTGCTTTAATATTTTCTCTACTAACCTTTGAACTGCACATTTATCTCTAATTTACCTCAATGGTCGCAGTTTGTCATACCTGATGTGTGACTGACTTACAACTTTTTAAGTTTTAACTCAAGCCACAACAGAAGAAAGTCTCGTAACTTTGTTATTCCATTGTTGTAGTGTGTTCATTAAGTTAGATACATGGTTGCAATTATTAATTCTATAAATACTGAAATCATAATATTGAGTGAATTGTCAAATGTTTAATGCTATATATTTGATTTCCTATATTTTTTGAACTGTGAAGCCTTTTATTTTGGTGAAACTACATGCTTTGTAGAATGTATAAAGTTGACTTGTCTGATATTAACCACAAAAGACTAAAACCTGGAAATATTTATTTTAAAAGCCATTATTTTTATTTCTAAACTTTTTTTTTCTGTTACATTCTACAATCAAGATTCAGGAATTAGATGTAGTGTAAACCTACTAAAGAAGTATTCATTACAATGAATTTACGAAGCCAATGTTTGTTACCTTTCTTCATCTGCTGTACCTGGTTTGCTTTGTTATAGTTCTGTTACAGTCACATGTTTTAGTGACTTCTATGTTTCCACTATTTAACAATATGTCCTCATTTGCTTTATCTTGCCATGAAGAAGATAAAAAAAAGATTGCTTAGTTTTCTTTCTTTCTGTGTGTGTGTGTGTGTATGTGTTCATTGCTGTGTTTATTTGATGTGTCTAAGTTTGAATAATTTTTATTTATGTTAAATTTGTTTTATTGACAATGGGTTTTTGGATTATTAATCTTCATACACCATTTAGTACTATAAGTACTTTTTAAAATTTGTTTAAACTCTTGTGTTTAACACATTGCCAACCATGATTGACAGTATTCAACAATATTTAAAATTTATCTTTACATTTATTGACTTGAAATATGAAGTTAAACTATCAAAATTACTTAATTCATAAAAAACTATAGAAGTTCTAATTTTCAGCAAGATTATCAAGATATCAGGAAGTAAAGAATAGCTTAGTCTTGTGAAACTTCAAGTAAAAATATTAATGTATATTTAAGAATTGAACTCCTATTAATTATCAGAATTGATCAGCAACAGTCTGTTTACATTTACCCAAAAATATGGGTCATAAATGCACGTAAAACAAAAATGACACCAAAAAATTACAAGGATGCGTCATTATGACACAATGTTATTTTAATTACTTAACAAATATATTTTGTACTCAGCACAATGTAATAAAATTATTGTATGTAAAAAAATTGAAATATTTTTCAAACTACATTTTACAGTAAATGCCACATAAATGCAGACTAATATGACTATTAATTAAACTATTATAGACATAATTACAAGTAGGGTTCTTTATTTTTGATATTTTACCAGTTTTCACTGGTGGTTTTTTGCCTGTGAAAAAATTATTTTACAATTTTTAATGATTTAAACCTGTGTACACCTGACACAGCACTCTTTAAGATCTGTAATATTGCTATGAATGTTTGTGTTTTAAGGAAGACACTTATCTTATTGTTGGTAAAACTAAAAAAAATATAAAGTGCAACTAGTTAATTGTATAATATACACATGAAAACATGTGTACATTTGTAGCAAGTGTTTCTTTTTTTTGACAATTTTTTATAAAAGAATGTACTGCTGCATGTAAACATCTTTGCAATGATAACAGATATTATAACTAATTTTTTCTGGGCAAAATTTTTACCAATTTTTACAGTGATTTTCTTCTGGTTTTTATTTGCAAAACGACTGGAAAACTACCAGGAAATTCTGAAAAACACAAAAACCTAATCAAGCCTATGTCCAGAATTTTTTTATGAGAGAAAAAAAATTCTATTACTATAAAGAACAAAATATTGTGTCTTTCTACGTTACATTAAAAAGAAGTGGCTACTGCTGGTGAAGGGTTAAAAACATCAATAGTCATTTTTTAATGCATTTTTTGTGCTTTGACGTACACAGTTAACCCTAATTATAAATCATCAAATATTTTTATTTTAATAGCATAATATTAATGCTATTGAATAAATGTACAGTACAAAAATTATCTTGTGATGTTTTCATCATAAGTTTTTAGATACATTTATTTCTTTTTAACCCGAGTTATAATTGTCCTAGTTTGGAAACTGAGTATTTTTCACTGTTAAATGCTAGTTTTTTTGTTAGCAGATAGATTGTAGAATGTGTCTTATCTTTAACTTATATTTTTATTATGCTGAAATGACCTATATTTATTATTTTATTGATTTCTGGTAATGTAATTAATTTAATAATTGATAA